CTTTTTTTTATAATTTTAGTAATCCACATAAGAATATCCAAATTATTATTTTTTTTTTCACGCAGGTTAGGTTTCAATATAACCTAATAACTTAGAGACTAAACCCCCAACCAACAAACACACGGACTACCTGCAACTCTGTACGTAATCTGCTTTATCTGCCTTGTGGCTGACAATTTGCTTGTTTATACAATTGATTGTGCACAGCGTTACATACGCTACTACCCGACCGTCATCAGCTTTTCTTTACCTTTTTTTTCCTTCTTTCTTCTTATTTTTATTTATTTATTTTAATCCTTTTTTTTATAGTTGTACTCTAAACTTTAAAGTTTTAGTTTAAATAATTCTGCACATGTCTTTTTTTTGGTGAGGTCACCTAATCCGAAACAAAATCAGAATATTATTCAATAAATAAATAAATAAAAAAAAAAAAAAAAAAAAAATTTTTTTATACAATATACAATAGAAAAAAGATATGTAGCACATCTTTGAAAAATACCCAAAGTAAATATTAGAAAAAAATCGGTATCTATTTTGGCCGTGAGATCATGCCGTCAGGAACACGATTGGAAGATTATTTCTTTTTTCATAATAGAATCACGCCTCTCTGACCAAATTAAGACATCCCTGGCACGAACTTCCATAATTTACTATGACTGATATCATTATTAAATCCAGACATATTTTCTCCAAAAATTTTTTTTTTTTTTTTTAACCCTTCTTCATCCACCGAGCATCTTTTTTCTTATATCTTTACTGACTCTTCACAAAAAGGATTTGGTTTATTTTCTTCTGATATAAACCAATCTTTAAAATTTTGTCTAAAAAATAAAAAAAATTTACTTTTTATTTTTTAATAAACTTCATATTCATTGTTCATTAAAAGAAGGGTCAATATAGATAAACAATATATATACCTCACTTATAATAAATAACTCACTCGTATATAAAATTTATATACGTAAATATAGAATAAAAAAAAACAATAAATACTTCACATTTGCCGTATTTCATATCTAGTCCTTTTTTTTTTTTTTTTTTTTTTTAAAAAAAAAAAAA